ACACACACACACACACACACATACATTTTAGTAAGTGCTTCAATTCCAGGAACCTCAAACAAAAAATTTTCTGCTTTATTCTTTCATCTCTTTGTATGATAAATGTTAAAGAAAAATCTGCCAATCCCTTTAATTTGTGAGCACCTAGGGAAAGTATGCTCATCCGTTTAAAAACATTGAAGAGAAGTTGAACACCAAATGATGTTTCTTCTTTTGTGCTCTTTTATGGAACTTCCATATGTAACTATAATTTCACAACCATTTTTTAATCTATAAGTGTGTACATATGTCTAACCCATACTTTATTAAATGTTTTCAGTTTCTATTGCTTATTCCGGTTGAGATTCTCCGATGGACCATTATTCTCCTTGCTGGCACTGCATCGTCTTCCTTTGTTGCTTTGAATCTCAGATCTTATATGGAGGCCAGTGATCTTACAATAATGGTAGTTGCTTCATTCTTCTTGCAACTGGCTCTTGCTGTCTTCATCAAGGCCTGGTTCTTTCCATAAACATCATACTGCGTGGACATCTAAGTTAGCCACAGATCCAAAGATACTTGTCTTCTCTGCCCTGAACAGTATGATACAAAGTTAGTGGAACAGCATGCATGTGGATTAGAAGTTTTTATATGTTTTGTGATTACTTGACTAGGTGAATTATAGTTTGGTGATGACTGATGAGTGTAGTGATTTCAGCGATACAAACATCATCGAATTGAAGTCGGTCGTAATTGAATGCTGTTTTGAATCTGGGAGCACCCTCATTTGCTGGTTATGAAATGTAAAGGGCCTTTTTAACCTTGTCAGCTGTCATTCTGATTTTGGTATATGAATTATGTATCCAAGTTTATCTGCTACACAATGAATGCTGGTAACATATATATATATATATATATATATTGGTTTCCCGTCCGGTATCCGGGGCTTCGCACGATTAGTCTGGACCCGACCTGCGTCGCGTACTTAGAAATGGTGGGTGAGTCTCCTAGCGGAGGGTATTGCGTGCACAAGGTTTCAAACTCGAGATCTTACTTAAGTTGGAACAAGTCGCTTACCACTTGATTCAACTTCTCGTTGGTCTGGTAACTTATATTTGGTTTGAAGGAAATAAGGAAGCGGGGAAAAATGTATTTTTTTAATTAATTAAATTATAGTATTTAAAATATTATAATTTAATTAATTAAAAAAATTCTCTCCTTAAACCAAACATAATATTAAGACCGGTAAGTGGTGAATTTCTTGAATGAACGAAAGAGCAGAGCAAAAAATGGCCCACAAGCCCTGATGGCTCAATTCGATGGTAGACAAATAAAACATATGAATATATGCTATTATTACATTTGGTGGGGATATGATTCTGCGGCTGCCGGCCATGCAACACAAGCAATCTCAAATCTCAATGAAATCGCATGGCATAAAAAGCAATGGTTTTTTCATCTCTCCTTTATACATTTTTTGTACAACAGGAATGTTATCTCTATCCAACCAAGCTGAATCAGCGCAATTTGATTAAACAACACTTTGGATACATAATAGCTTAAGTTGTCGGTCCACAACTCAAGTCCATTTTAAACAGCACCTAATTGTACAACTGGACTCAAAACCATTGCCCTAAACCTAACCAAAACTTTGTTTTTATTAAGTGTTGTTACAGTGTTGAAATTATAATTGGTTTGAGGTTTTATACTATAGACAGAATTTTCGATTCTGTGAGCATTAACACGTTTTAACCCAATATTTGATCAAAGTGGTCCTATCATGTCCGTGGTTTAAGAATCCACCTTCTAAAATACCAGGTGCTTCAAACAAAAAGATAAATTATACTATTAACATTTTTTTTATCATGCACAGCATCACCTGGCAATTGATTTAAAATTTCTTAATTAATTTTTTTAATTATTTCAAGAGCCAGGTGTAATTGTCACATATATTATACATAATATTATGTTGAAAACATTGGACGTGGATGTATGAATTGACAAGAAGTTTCTATCATTTGATATTAAGCTGGGGAAGAAATGTTTTTTTTTTAAACCAAGGCAAGGCCACCTCAATGGAAGAAAAACATGGGGTTGGTATTTTACGGAGAGGAAAGAGACTCCAAGTACTACTTTGATTTGACTGCCGCACTGCACGGATCCACTGTTTACGGTTTGTCGCGTCTTCTGTTAATCTCATTCCACCACGTCTTCCAGTTTTAATTTACAGAGAAAATCCGCTACCTTCCCTAGCCTACACCCTTTTATTGGATGACACCGAGCCACATACTTTTGCCGCACTCACGTGTCTAAGTTGGTCCTCTTCCCCTCTTTAAAACCTTCTATCACCTTAAAACCCTCATTTCAGGTTAAAACTCTAGTCACCAGGCAGACACACGAGACCTGACCTCAAGATGGACGAAATTGATCGAAATCGCGTTTTTCTTAAGGATGTCAAGCGTCTCGTTATCAAGGTTAGCTGCATTCATACAATCCGTTTCTTTTGTTCAACAAATTTAGAATTTTTTTCCCCCAAAGATAAGATCTTGGCAGGACCCATGAATCCTTTATTCTGAAAAAGAGTTGTATTCTTTCTTTGCTCCTAGACCCCCAATTGGGTGCCTTTTATGAAGATCAAGGATTTTTACCTTTTACTTATTTGAATAATCTATCTTTTAGGAAAGGATTTTTCTTTGATGCTTTAATGGCTTTGAATTGGTGAATCTTGTAGGTTGGGACTGCTGTTGTTACTAGAAATGATGGGAGAATAGCTCTTGGAAGACTAGGTGCACTATGTGAACAGGTTTGCTATTTCTGTATGTTGCAACAGAGCTAGCTTGTACCCTATTCTTTGCCTCATGAAACGAGGATTGAACTCTTGAATGAAATGCAGGTTAAAGAATTGAACTCTAAAGGATATGAGGTTATTTTGGTCTCCTCAGGTGCTGTTGGCCTTGGTCGCCAAAGGCTTAAATACCGGAAATTAGTGAACAGCAGGTTTTCCTTCCTCTTTGCTTTGCTTTAATACATATTTTGAGACCACCCTACTAAAAGGGGAGAGGGAAACAAAAAGGAACTAGACTGATATTAACCCATAGGGATATGTCTACATATAAATCTCTTGTTTGAGATAATTTTGATTCATGTTCATCCATGTCTTTCAGCTTTGCTGATCTTCAGAAACCTCAAGTAGAACTTGATGGGAAGGCATGTGCAGCAGTTGGGCAAAATAGTCTCATGGCTTTGTATGATTCATTGTTTAGTCAGGTAGTTATGTATTCTCTATTCCATTTCACTGCTGCATCAGCATCAGAGTCAATTTAGTTTGAGTTATTGCAACCTCAATATCGAATTGAACATTTTGTTTTCTATTTCTGAGACACGTAGTAATTTCCTCTCTTCTTCACTTGGGATGAAGCTGGATGTCACATCAGCTCAACTCCTAGTGACAGATAGTGATTTCAGAGATCAGGGTTTCAGGAGCCAACTAAATGAAACTGTCATGTCATTGTTATCATTGAGGGTCATTCCAATATTTAACGAAAATGATGCAGTAAGCACGAGGAAAGCTCCATATGAGGTGCAATACTTCACATCTTCCCTGCAGGATTTTATTAGCACATTGATATTTACTTTATTGATGAACTTTGAGTTTTGATTTGATCACTTTTTGCAGGATTCATCTGGTATATTTTGGGACAACGATAGTTTAGCAGCTCTACTAGCATTGGAATTACAAGCTGATCTTCTTATTTTATTAAGTGATGTAGAGGGTTTATTTAGTGGCCCTCCGAGTGACCCAAAATCGAAATTAATCCACACATATGTTAAAGAAAAGCATCAGGGCGAAATCACCTTTGGAGACAAGTCAAGGGTGGGAAGAGGGGGTATGACTGCAAAAGTAAAAGCTGCTGTCAATGCTGCTTATG